TTTCTATTATGTTTTTGCATCTCTCTTCTGTCCTAAAGATAGGCATGTGTGTCGGGGAATATTTTGGAGAAGACCTCTAATTTTTATGCCTGTCACCCATTTGAGTTTCCAACACTGTTTTTTAAAAATAGCTTATGTTCATCTTGTACAGAATTTTAAATTGTCGATTAAAATAATAAGTATTCCTGCTAGGAATAATAGAGAGTATTCAGCGAAGATGTTAAAAGAGATGCCATGTTAAAATTAATGTGACTGGGGAATTTAAATATTTAAATTGGCTTAATTTCCTGAGATCTCTTTGTGAAAATAAATAAATAAACCAAAGAAATGCAAAGGTAGATCATCAGCAACAAAATAGCTTCCCTTTATACAAATCCCATTTTCGGAATAGATCCGTCCATTAACACCATGTGGAAATGCTGTATTTCCTTCAGAACCAAATCCACTGCCATTGACATTTAATAGGGTTAAATTAAATGTATGTCTTTACAGAAGCAGATTGGCTCACCTTTCTCCCGATTTGAACCACAGATCTTGTCCTTAGCTACCCAGTGCTAGTCCCACTTACCACCAGGGCTCCTTAGTGAGTCATTTTCCCACTTCAAGGTGAACTAGGGACCAGGTGAGTTGGTCAAAGGTATTAGCTGTGAGTCCATGAGATGACGTGTGAGAGCACCGAAAGTGTCCCCGGAAGCATAGTCCACCCTCCATCACTGCCTCCCCAACGCGCCTATGAGCTCAAGCAACTTCTACCCCCAAGACTGTCACCATCCTCCAAATCACCTCTTTCGTCACTCTCACAGCTTCCACCGATCAAACATTTTGTTAATTTTTTTAGTTAAGTTTTATAAAAAATACTTCAGACTGATGTGCCTGATGCTATGTTAAATACTTGTTCTTATTTTAAAACACCGAGTTTCTAGACCACCTACTGTATTGTTTTTGTCTCTATTTTCAACACTGAAATAGGACTTCATAAATTGCCCTGCTGGGCTGACATTCTATCCACTTTCTTGTTATGAGCCATCCAGGTCCTTCCAACCCAAGGCCACCCTTGGTGTCACGGCACGAAGCACCGTCCAGCCCTGCGGCATGCTCACAATTGTCCTCCATGTGTCGCAGCCACTGTGTCGGTCCATCTTGTCGACGCCGTCTTCTGTTCCAGGCCCCTTCCCTGACCGAGTATGGTTTCCTTCCCCAGGGACTTTTCTTCTGACAACATAGCCGATGTCTTTGACATCCAGTCTTACCATCCTTGCCTCTCCTGAACATTCTGGCTGCACATTTCCAAGACGGATTTCTTTGTTCTTTTGGCAGTCCGTGGTATTTCCAGTATCCTTTGCCAGCACCATAATTCAAACGCACCGATTCTTTTTCAGTCTTTCTTGGTCAAAATCCAACTTTTACATGCAGATGAGGCCATTGAGAGTACCCTAGCTTGGGTCAGGCATGCCTCAGTCCCCAAAATAACATCCTTGCGTTTCAACACTTAAGAAAGGTATTGTGCAGCAGATTTATCCAATACAGCGTGTCATTTGATATGTGACTGCTGCGTCCAGGAGCATTGATTATGGATCCAAGCAAGATGAAATCCTTGACAACTCAGTGTTTGCTCTGTTGATCACGATGTTGCCTATTGGTCTAGTTGTGAGGATTTTGGTTTACTTTATATTCAGTTATAATCCATAATAAAGGAAGCAACCCTTGATCTTTATCTACCTCATTACTAACCATCTTATCCTCTGTCTTTCTGCTTAATTTCTCACTAATCTAATAATAGCTAACATTATTAAATACTTTGTTGTCATCTAAATACATACACTCATACATGTAAGCAATAGCACCATAATTTTATATATGAGGGTATTGAGGTACATAGTTAGTAAGTATCCAAGTCAGATTTCTACCTTGGGCAGATTATACCCCATTTGTGAAGTTGGGATGAATATTTTAATCTGAACCCATTAAAACTCTAGATTTCTGAACATGCTAACATTGGTCACCACAGAAAGATTTTTATTAATAGCATGTATTAAAATACAAATTATCATGAATTTCCAGCATTGTCTATTAAGTGTTTTCTTGTATTTGCCTCACACTACTGATTTTCCTTAAGAATTCTCAGATTACACCTCTTCCTTGACTCTGAACACAAATCTGATGGCATGCTTAAGAGTCCTAGGTTTAAAGTGTTATGCCTTAGCTTCTTTATCTGTAAAGTAAGGGTAACAAGCATACTTCTCCTTCTAGATCATCATGAAGTTTAAATGAACCATATCTAAACGAGCCAAAGGGTGGAGGACAGAACTTGAATACTACAAGTGCTCGTGATTATTCGTTGCAGGCATCACCATCACTTTTCAAACTTTTAATTTGTGCTTTAGATTTCATTGTAAGCATTTTGAGACCTGGAAAAAAATAGAATGTAACCCACAATGGTATCCTAACTCCCAAATGGAAAGGCAACGAAAAGTCTTAACAAGATGTTAAACTATGTCATCATAGGAAAATCACAAATATATAGTGAGTGAATTTACTTAGAAAGCAAACAAATCACCCAGGAAAAGAGGAGTACGTAGGAATGGGAAGATCTATGCATTGTAACTTCGAAAAAATTTTAAAAGCCCTGATGTCACAATGGGTTAAGCATTAGAGAAGGTCAGAACTTCCTATCCATCACCACTCCATGCGAGAAAAACGAGTCTGCTCCTACAGAGACCCGCTTTAGGCTTGCTGGGAGTCAGAAGCAGCTCAATGACAGTGGTTTCAGTAGGGTTCCAGTTTATGCCTGTGTGACTTTAATTTTTTAAAATCACAATATTTGAACATGCCTCTGCAATCAGAGGATGGCTTTAGCAGGTTCTCTTAGTAGCACACTTGTCTTGGTCTCATATATATAGCCAATCAAAGCACCTGAGGGGACCTACCGAACCAGTTAAATCCACAGTAGAGACTCCAAAGGTTTTGGTGATTGTCTTTTCTTGGTTGTTGTTTGTTTTGTTTTTTTGTACTTGATCCAAAGGAGTAAATGCTGATAGATTTTCTTGAAGGGACAGGGTGATCAGAAAGACATTTCAAGAATATTGACAATTACATTGATAAGAAAAACACTAGGGAAAAGAAGACAAAAGTAAAGGCCAGGCAAGTTATACAAGGGAGTTTTTTCTATCATAAGTTGCACCTGCACGATGGACATTAGTCCTCCACTCAAGTAATCCCTCAATCCAAGAATACTTTGTTCTATTAAAATGGCATTCCATGATGCTCACCTTCCCGACACAATCACTGAAGACAAAGCAGGTGCATAAGCAAATGTGAAGAAAGCTGATGGTGCCTGGCTATCAAAAGATATAGCGTCTGGGATCTTAAAGACTTGATAGTAAACAAGTGGCCATCTAGCTCAGAAGCAACAAAATCCACACAGAAGAAGCACACTAGCCTGTGTGATCACAAGGTGATCAGTTGGGATCAGTTATCAGGCATCAAAGAACA